TGGTACATTCGAATCTTCTTTAATTGAAAAATGAAGCCCAGTTATAACCCACACTCCCTGCACCCCATGTAGACTGCCCAATGACAGGCCTTCGGTCTTGTTCCTGCGTGCGTTAGTTCTGTTATGGTGGTTTTACCTGAGGATCTAAAGCTTCCGTGATTCATACCAAGGAGCTAATTAAAATCATGTCCTGTTAATGTTACTTAGAGGTCATGGGATCTGTCAACAGAGGCATTGGGAAAAGCACAAATAACTCTCACTCCAGTCCTGAGTTTCTTGGAACATATGTGCAAATTATGTTGAGTCCTATAACTCCCTAGGAATGAACTGTAGTGTCTTTTTTTTTTTTTTTTTAGACCTTTGTGGCTCTTTTGTCCCCTCTCGACGATCAGTTCTTTTTGTACTACTCCCTTAGATCAAGAGATAGCTTTTTTTATACTGACAAAAACTATGTGTGCTTTTAAAGCCTTTTTTTGATCTCCAGGAAACGTTATTAAATATCATTGTAGCATTCTTAAATTCTCCAAAGGAGAATTAACATTACAGCCAGTGTGAAATAAGATACAGCAAAGCTTTTATGACTTTATGCTGCCCTTGCTTTATCTAAAAATTTGTGGGGCTTATTGTATTGTTAGAAGTCTAGGACACTCCAAAAGAACAGTTGTCAAATGAAAGGTTGCACTGTGAATTTAATATATATCTTTTGAAGGTTAGGATATTGATTTACTGGACAGTGTTAGAGTTTTAAAATCTAATTCTGAGCCTGTTACCTAGGACATTGATGAAACTGAGACATTATCAGCCAGGGTGGCTGAAAGACCCTCAGAGCCTTTAGCCAAAACTGTCAGGGAGTCAGAAGGAACTTGTGCCTGTCTGTCAGTTCTTCCCAGGTTCCGTAAGTGCTGTTATTAAGATTGACAGGACTGAAGAGGTAGGGACCCCTAACTGCTTGCCTCTTGTGCCCTGGCAAAGGGCCAGAGCCAAGGAGGGCTACTGTCTTAATTCCGTAGTGATTGGGTCTTGGGTTGTAGTCTGTTCACATTCTCCTGTGTTAGGAAGCTGTCAGTAGAAATCAGGAAGAGAGGGCTCCGTTTTGGTTAATTGTTATCATCTTACAAAGAAGGATCTAATCTGTCTTGTGTGGTTATACAAATTATAGCATGTAAGTTTGAAATAGCACAGTAGGGGGAATTTAGGGGGAAAAGTGATTGAGAGACTTTTCTAGAGAATGAACTGCTTAAATGTTGAGACAGAATGAGAGACATGAGGTTGTCTCTCCATGTGACTGTCGAGGTAGGCAAGATGGCTTCATACGAAAGTATAATTGAGAAAAGCCATTCCCAGCCCAGCTCTGCTCTCCACAGCTCCCTCTCCTCCCATCCAGGGCAGATAAAAAGACTGAATGGATCTTTCCTCTTTCTGGAAGTCCTCTATAAACTTGATTTCTTAGCTGAATGTCTGAGTGCTATTGGGCACTATTGGGCAGCACTGATTCCAATGTAGTACTCAGCTATAAAGGACTTGCAGTATTATGTTCTGTGTTGTCATTTAAAAATGCTTTTAAATTTTAAAAATGCAATTGCTTTATGAGCTGTTGAGTTGATAGACGTTATCTTCATAAGAATTTAAGGCTCTGTTCTCTGTTTCTGTATTTTGGAAAAGTTTTTTACTCATGGCCTGCTGTTTGAAGTTTCTCTGTTCAGCAATTCTTTCCTGCAATCACCCTGCAAAGCTAATGTTTTTAGTCCATCATTTTATTATCTCATATGTAGTCATCTCATACACATTATTCTCTCACTTAGCATATTCTGTTGCAATTCTATGTCTGTGTCTCCTGACACAGTGTGAGTGCCTCAGGGCTGGATCTTTGTTTCCTCTCATGTCCTGGAACAGGGTCTGACAGGACATAGAAAGAACCTGTACAGTGGGTATTCCATAAATGTTGAATGAATGATAACCCAGGTTTAGAGCCTAGATACATTCTGGATGTGGGCCTTAAAACTGGGGTATTGTGGGGCGCCTGAGTGGCTCAGTGGGTTAAAGCCTCTGCCTTTGGCTCAGGTCATGATCCCAGGGTCCTGAGATCAAGCCCCACATCGGGCTCTCTGCTCAGCGGGGAGCCTGCTTCCTCCTCTCTCTCTGCCTGCTTCTGATCTCTGTCTGTCAAATAAATAAAAAAAAAACAAAAACAAAAAAAAAAAAAAACTAGGGTATTGTGTCGGGATGCCTGGGTGGCTCATTCAGTTCCACATCTGCCTCTGGCTCAGGTCATGATCCTAGGGTCCTGGGATTGAGGCTGCTCCCCGACTTCAGCTTCTTGCTCAGTGGGGAGTCTGCTTCTCCCCACCGCCCTCCTGCCCCTCCCCCTGCTCCTGTGTGGTGAGCATGCTCTCTCTCTAATAAATAAATAATTTCTTTAAAAGTGGGGTATCGTGTTCTTGGTGGATTTTTTGTGCCCTTTTTATTTTTGGTTGTGGGGTAGCCGCCTGATGTGTTTTGTGGCGCTCACACGTGTGCTGTGTTTGATTGCTTGTTGATAATGAGCCCTGACAAGGGCCATCAGAGTATGGCTGCTTGGTTCCAAGGTTCTTTCTTTCCCTTGGTTGAGTGTAAGTGGGTTTTTCATTTTAAGATGTAAGCTTATGAAACCTGGTGGCTCACATTTATTATTTATGTTCTGGGGTATTTATCATTGTCTGACCTCTGTAACCCCTGGTTTCCATTTGGATCAAATGAGATTTGTGCATGGGAAGCACTGGATTGACGCCTTGCATATCTAATGTGAACTGAGCTGATTGAACAGCTTTTGACAATCCTGACTCCCTCTTTGGCTGCAGAATTGTAATTTCTAACTCATCTCAGAATCTTAATTATAATTTTTCACTGCACAAGTCTGATTGCTCTCAAGGAAAGAGATTTATTTTAAAATTATATAGATTATCATTAATGGGAAATTTCCCCCATGTTAACTAGTCTTTATTCCATTTAGTTAAAAGTTTCCTGGTGTTGTTTGTTTGTTTGTCTATTTATTTCCTAAGTAGGCTCCACACCCAGTGTGGAGACCAACATGGGGCTTGAACTCATGACCCTTAGATCAACACCTGGGTGGAGATCAAGAGTGGGATGCTTTAACCAACTGAGACCCCCAGGCACCTCCCCTGTTTTTTGTTTTTTAATAACTTAACATTCTGGAAGCAAAGCCAAACAAAAGAGGAATTGGTTTAAAGGATCTGTAAAGTTTGTTTTCTAGGGTTGATGTTAGGAGGAGAGAGGAGGAAGCTCTCTTCTAACTTCTGTGTCTTTTTAGTTTCAAGTTGAGATTAGACAGAAAGTAGTTAAGACCAGGGGCACATTCCATTCCCTCCTTTCCTGCCCACACACTTAGTGAGGCTTCATGTGTAGGTGTGATGTAAGGGCTGAAATGAAGGTTTATTTTTAAAGTGAGTGAGTCTGTACCTTTAAAAAATAAGAAATGTTAAGGATAGAATAATGAACATTGTGTTATAAGTTGCTACACTTATATATATAAGATACTTTACTTTTTTAAAAAGTTGAAAAATAGTTGCTGTATGAGTTGCAAATAGCAAAGATGATATATCCAGGGAGAGTTCATAATGTAACAAAATCTTATAATATGACTATGATGTACATTTAGTGTGAATAATTGTTATATAGATAGGAATAAGTGGTAAGGGGATAGTGTAAGGTCTTATAATCACTCTGTATATTCACTGCTATTGTTGTACAACAGAGCAAGTACTTCTGCCCTCCGTGAAGGGGCAGGGGAAGGGGAACTGGGCAGGAAAGTTCTCTTGGACTCTTCCTCAATCTTTGGTTCCTGACCCAGAGGTGTCAGGGGAGTGTGAATGTTTTCACTATAGGAAGCCCAAGGGGGGCTGTGAATAAAGTGGCTCAAGGTGGGCCTTGAGCTGCCTCCTCCCTGCTGTGAGAATTGCCCCTTCTTCATTAAGGAATATGTGAAGATGGAAACTGGTAAGTTTTGCCCTTTGGATCTCTAGCCCTTATCCCACAAGGCACTGGAATTCCTTCTACGGTGCTCTTTTACGGAATTCCTATCCGCCCCCTCTGCACATCCTTGTGTCTCCCTTGCTCTTCCCCCAGATGGAGGAACAGGGCTGAAGGGTTATTGTTCCATGGTGTGTGTGTGCGTGTGTGTGCGTGCGTGCTTTCATTTCACAAAGGTAAGATATAAAGGAAGGGATCTCCCCAGGGCCAAAAATTCTCCCATTACTGTCTGAAGTTCTGTCGCTTAGAGATTAACTCGAATTCATAAATAATACCTTAGACTTTAATAATAATTATCACTAGCATGCGTATGTAGTATGAACCAGGGACAATTCTAAAGACTTTGCGGGAATTAATTTATTAATCCACACAGTAAGCCTATGACAAAGGTTTGGAGAAGTCCAGTAACTTGTTCCAAGTTCCATGGTGATGATGAGGGCAGAGCCAGGACTGAATCCCGCTGGGTCTGCTCTGGGACTCTGACCCTCAGCCACTGCACCGGGTTCCCTTTCCTGGATACTTAATGAAGATTTGGTTTAATGTGCTTTCTTCTTCATGTGTTGCAGTGCTGTCTGTAAGGGGTAGGACAGAAAGTGAAAAGGGTAAAAACGTTGAGGAGGAAAAATGGCCATAGGGCACTTACTATGGGAACTTTGGAAAGAGATATGGGAGCATTCTATCTAGCCATCATTTTCTTGCTCATCAGCATCTGGATATTAGTGACCTTATGATCAGTATGAGAACTTCACCAAGAACCTACAACAACTGTTGCTCCTCTCTGCTTCTGAATATCAATTTCATTTTTCTTTTAGTATCTAGCTGCAGAAAGTTCTTGCATATATTTTCTGTGTCTATGTGATAAATATTTATTATTTTAAATGTCATTTAAAATAACACTTTGTGAATATTCTTGACGTGAAAGCCAATGAAAAACAACTAATTTCTATGATTACCTCCTTTTTCCCCCCTCACAGTATTGGCTGGATCCTGCAAAAACCCTTGCTGAACACAAAGAACTAATCAACAGTAGGTATTTAATGTTAATTTTGTTAAGGGGTGCCTTGAAAATGGTACTGTGTCCATGATTAGTTGGGTGCAGAAATACACTTTAGTACTACAGGGATGAGTACTAGTACTCAAGTATCAGAATATGGAAATGGGTGTTCTGTGCATTGCCAGACTCTTCCTCTAAATTCTGATTAAATTTTAGTTAATAAAGACTTTAAGTGATGGATCTTAATATTGAATTTTGCTTGGGGTATGCCTGCCTTTAACTTGTCAGTGATTTTAAAATTTTTCTTATCTTTAAAATTTTACCTTAAAAAAAATTTCACCTTAAAAAGGAAAGGGAGAGAGGCATTGATTTGGAAAAAAGTAGACATCCGACCTTCTAAAGAGCTTGAGTTTCTTGGCTTAAGGAGTGGTTTTGTCATTCACACTATTACTTGCTGGGTCCTTCATAAGGAGTGCCCTTGTGGTCTGAAAGATTTCTGTGGCTTCAGAAAGGACCCATCTATTTTTAGGGGGTCCCTTTTGGTTTTATGAATGTGAATCTTACTAGGTAACTGAGGGTATAATTAAGGTTATATTGTATAACTTCAATTTCCATAACCCAGGATTTTCTTTATAGAAGTATATGCATGACTGCACGTGCACGTGATCCTTAAGTATGCAGAGAGTTGTTTTTTTAAATTATCTTTTTGGGGCACCTGGGTGGCTCAATGGGTTAAGCCTCTGCCTTCAGCTCAGGTCATGATCCCAGGGTCCTGGGATGGAGTTCAGCATCGTGCTCTCTGCTCAGCAGGGAGCCTCCCCCCACCCCCGCCACCTGCCTCTCTGCCTACTTGCGATCTCTATCAAATAAATAAATAAAATCTTTAAAAAATTATCTTTTTAAAAATATGATAAAATATATAACACAACATGTACCATGTTAGCCATTTTTGAGTGGCCCTAAATACACTCATTGTGCAACCATTACCACTACCTCCAAAATTCTTTCACCATCCCAAAGTGAAACTTCGTACTCATTAAACCATTTTGCTTTGCTGTGAAAATTATTTCTGGTAAGATGTAGTAGATTCTTCAGGCCTTCATAACCCCCGTCCTAACATACTTCACGTGTTTGTTGGCTTATTCCCTGTGGTAAAATCGGCCACTTCACGATCCCCACGGGCAGGAATGTATCTGTGCAGCTGGAAACGAGGAACTGCAGAACAGGAACTCAGTGTGTCCAGTTTCTCTGAACGTCAGCATCATTTTTGTTTGTTTCTGTTTACCCATGTCTGTGGGGGAAACCTCTAGCCACGCGCAGAGGTCGACTGGCAGTCTCTGTACTGGAGGCTCCAGTTCTATGGGAGGGTGCATCTGACCAGCCCGGCGAGAGTCTGTGGCTCACCCAGTCTACTCAGAGGTATCTGAGCTTCTTCAGGGTCCTATAAACATAGCTGCTAGGGTGCCAGCCTTCTGGATATGACTGGGTGTCAGTTTCAGAAACAGGCTTGCAGCTGGCCGATGGGCATGAGAAAGAACCCTCAAAAAATATACTTTAGATATCACCAATTCTGTCTCTTCAGCCTACACAGGAGTAAGTCCTAATTCCTAAGGGGTTCATGACTTGCCCTTGGTGAGAAGCTAGTTGGTAGCAGAGGGATGATCAGAGCCCTGGTCTTCTGACTTCTAGTACTTCTGTATTTCTAGTACTCTTCCTGAGTGAGCAAACTGCCTACTGAAGGCCAAGGTGGGAGGGATGAGGGTACCTGGGATTAGTTGTGAATGCAGGTAACTTCTGTGAGGTATCTACATATAAATGGTAGGATTTCCAATTTAAAAAGTTTCATCCTTCAGGATCTAGAAATTGGTACTTTTCCCAGGAATTCAGGTATAGTAATAAATACAGTAAGTCTGTCTTAGGCATTTGAATGAAGTAGTTAAAAAAATACCAGTTTAAAAATTAGAAAAATGTCAGGAATGATTATTTTAAAACAAACTCACAGAATTTATTTTATTTTATTGTGTTATGTTAGTCGCTGTACAGTATATCATTGGTTTTTGATGTAGTGTTCCGTGATTCATTATCTGTGTATAACACCCAGTGCTCCATGCAATATGTGCCCTACTTAATACCCACCACCAGGCTTACCCATCCTCCCACCCCCTCCCCTCTGAAACCCTCAGTTTGTTCCTCAGAGTCCATAGTCTTTCATGGTTCGTCTCCCCCTCCAATTCCCCCCTTCAACATCATTAGCCATCAGGGAAATTCAAATCAAAACCACATTGAGATACCACCTTACACCGGTCAGAATGGCAAAAATTAACAAGGCAGGAAGCAACAAATGTTGGAGAGGTTGTGGAGAAAGGGGAACCCTCTTACACTGTTGGTGGGAATGCAAGTTGGTATAGCCACTTTGGAAAACAGTATGGAGGTTCCTCAAAAAGTTAAAAATAGACCTACCCTGTGACCCAGCAATTGCATTACTGGGTATTTACCCCAAAGATACCAATGTGGTGAAAAGAAGGGGCACATTCACCCCAATGTTCATAGCAGCAATGTCCACAGTAACCAAACTGTGGGAGAAGCTAAGATGCCCTTTAACAGACAAATGGATAAAGAAGATGTGGTTCATATACACAATGGAATATTACTCAGCCATCAGAAAGGATGAATACCCACGATTTGCATCAACATGAAAGGAACTGGAGGGGATTATTCTAAGTGAAATAAGTCAAGCAGAGAAAGACAGTTATCATATGGTTTCACTTATATGTGGAACATACGGAATAGCATGGAGGACATTAGGAGAAGGGAAAACTCACAGGATTTTTATTTTAAAAAGTTGAGATTTCTAAGTGATGAAGAAAAATATAAATTATTTTATTTGACGTGCTTTACTAGTGGTCCTGAGCACACTTGAAGTATTTATTTCTTTGTATGGTATGAAATATTCTATTTAAATATCTGTAATCTCTGATGAAGCTGCTTTTTAACCCTAAATAAATGTTGTTCTGTCAAAGAATAAAATGCTGATATTGAAGGAAGATGATATAACTGAAGAAAACATAATTTTTATATTTTACGTCATGAAATACTTTGATAATTAGTGAAGGAAAACGGTTCTCACATCTCATGTAGATTAGTCAGAAAGAGTATCTGTAAAAATGATGGAGTTATTTGCCAGTCACCAGGATTCTTATAGGTGGGTCTTAATTCCTTTCTCCTTGAGCTCATGGAAGACTTACTATCATTAGAGGCCTTGAAATTGGTCCTCACAAAAGGTATTTAGAGGATTTCTGGTTTTTGGCTTCTGTATTTTTTAGCTAATGTGAAACAATATTAACTTATTAAAGGTAGATTCTATTGAAATACATGGATTCAAGATAATAATTTAGGAATGTGCTTCATCAGCACACTGTTTATTTATAGTCAGTCTTAGAACAGGAAGCCAAAAAATACCTGATCAGGCATATCCTTGCTCCAGAATGTCCATTTCCATAGCCTTACATTGACTTATAAAACAGTGATGGAGATGAAAGTATTTGCATTACATCGGAGGTATTATAATTCTTTTCCTTGAGAGGCTATATGGAAGAGTGGCCAGAAAACCCCGAACTCTAGGTATTAGCAAACTTGGGGCTCAACCTTGTGATCTTAAGCAAATTGCTTCCCTCCTTGGAGGTTCACCTGCCTTTTCTATATTACCAGGTGGTTGTTCAGAATCACATGTTTATGAAATATTGTTATACATTATTAAATGTAGTCAAGTGGTAGTGATGCCTTGTATTTAGAACAGAAACCATTGAATATGCAAGTGGGAAATAGAGGGCTGATTTGGGCCAAAAGTCTTTGTAGGAGATTTGCCCAAACTGAATTACTTCTGCTTAATGCTCATCACTGAACCCATTTGAAATGGCTAGGCTTGGTCAATAGGGTGTAATCTGTCACGTTGCAGACAATAAAAGCAACCCTGGAATCTGGACAAGGCCTTCTTCCCTTTGTGCACTGGCCCCACAGCATGTGAGCTTTTCCTGCCCCTAGATCCCAGCCCCCGTGGCCTGCGGCACAGGCGGTCCCATCTGCTCAGCAGCACAGAGCTTGATTGACAGAGATAGACCCACAGACCGTGGACTTCCTGGCTCTTCTAAATATTTAATATGCCTCCCTGACATCTACGCTCAGGGCTGAAGATGTATTTGGCAGAAACATAAACACCCTGATTAAGTGATCATAGAAATCAAACATATGGAATCAACTCTAATGATCAGTTATAACAAAGTTCATTGAAATTTAGTTCTTAGAAAAGCTCTAGCTTAAGGAATGCCTTGTCCAGAAAGGCGCAGATGAGGGGAGAGGAGGCAGGGCCCTGGTGTCCCTTGTCTTCTGCATGCCAGGAACAGGGCTTTGGGGTTCTACAGACATCGCATATGTGTGGCATAATAACAATAAATTATAATGTAGTTTGTGAATTAAAAATGCATAATGGCTTTATGACCTGTTCTACTTAATTTGCTTCCCCCCATCTTCTGAATTTGTCACTTTTTTTAGTCAGTAAAAATGAAAATCGAAAGATGCAGGTTACTTTTTGTCAGTTACACACTATCAGAGACTTGGGGTAACAAAATGTGAGTGGAAATACTGTAATTGAGTTGTATACTTCGCATCTGTGTGTGTGTGTGTGTGTGTGTGTAAGAACTTTTGTTGAAGAAAAAATTAGAAATTATGACCACTGATTAAATATACCAGGTAAGAAATCCATTTTAAAATAGGTTTAAGGGGTGCCTGGGTGGCTCAGTTGGTTAAGGGGCTCCCTTTGGCTCAGGTCATGATCCTAGGGTCCTGGGATCAAGTCCCATATCAGGCTCCCTGCTCAACGGAGAGAGACTGCTTCTCCCTCTGTCTCTGCCTGCCGCTCTGCCTACTTGTGCTTTCTATCTCTCTGTCAAATAAATAAAAAAGATAAGACAGGTTTAATATAAGATCTAGTTACCACACTGCTCAGAAGTTTTGGAAGCAGTTTAAGTTAGATTCATACCCTCTGAAATAGAAATATTTCTAGTAAGAGTATAATATGATGTAATTGGCATCCAAGGGGCTTGTGTCCTCTTGCACAATATGAATGTTTAATTATATTTTAAGTTTCCCCATGTAAGTACTATTCCAGGCTTTATTTCATATATATATTTGGTATTTGTGCGTGTTGTTCTTCTATATGTAGTAAATGACTGAGATGAGAATTATCTTCTTAAATATATAAGAGCACATTCTTAGAAAAGTTTAGGAATTATACAAATACTGCCTATAATCCTACCACAGAGCCGCCCTGATGATTTTTTTTTTTTTCTTAAAAAGGTGAGAGAGATATGTGGAAAGAAAATTACCAGTTTCGCTAAGAGTAGAATGTAAATGTTCTCAGACACACACACAAAGTAAAATATGTGAGGGATGAATGTGTTAACTTGTTAAGGGGAATCCTTTCATAATGTATACATACACAAAATCATCACATTACACACTTTAAATGTATTACAATGTAATTTGTCAGTTATACCTCATTAAAGCTGGGGAAAAAAACTTTCCAATTCTTCTTCCCAAAATTTGCCATGTTAGTTATTTTTTATGTGTTCTTCTGGGGGTGGGGGGAAACATATTTTATAAAAAGGCATTTTTAAAAAATTTATTTATTTATTTGACAGAGAGAGAGAGAGCTCACAGGCAGGGGGACGGGAAGCAGGCTCCCCGCTGAGCAGAGAGCCTGATGCGGGGCTCAAACCCAGGACTCTGGGATCATGACCTGATCTGATCCCTTTTGTGAAAAAGAAAGTTATCTATTAAAATCTGTTTCCCGGGGCACCTGGGTGGCTCAGAGGCTTAACCCTCTGAGCCACCCAGGTGCCCCGGGAAACAGATTTTAATAGATAACTTTCTTTTTCACAAAAGGGATCAGATCTCTGCCATCAGAAGTAGGTTGGTAATCTTTCCCAGTTAGCATATAGAGTTCTCCCTCTCCCTCTCCCTCTACCCATTTAAGCAGTGGTATGTACCATATATGTGTACCATGGTTGACTTAAATGGGCCACCTGTTAGTAAGCATTTAAGTATCTATCTTTTGGTATCAGCTTTTGTTGGATATGTTTTTTGTACTTTTTGCAATAGTTAGTAGTAGGTGGGTGGTTTTAAAAAACCATTTGTTTTATCATTAATTTTTCTTCATTGTGGAAAAAATACATATATTGTAGAAAATGGGAAAAATGGGAAAATTGTCCCATTTGGGATAGAAAATGGGAAAAATGGAAAAATTATCAATAATCAATAATAAAAATTGTGCACAGCCTCACTAACTAGGTATAAGAACTGGCAACATGTGAAATATTTGATCTCCTTTTTCCTCTATTTGTGGACACATAGACCTATACCTACGTAGATACCTGCAGAGTTGAAGTCCTAATGTTATAAAACTTTCAATCCTTTTTTTTAACTTTACATTTTCTTGTGTGCTTAGAAGTTCTTAGTAAACAACTTTATTGAGGGGGTACCTGAGTGTCATACGTGGTTAGGCGCAAACTCTTGGTTTCGTCTTAGATCATGATCTTGGGGTGGTGAGATCAAGCCCTGTTTTGGGCTCCATACTCAGCATGATGTCTGCTTGATGTTCTCTCTCCTTCTCCTGCCCTCACCCCCACCCCCGGCATGATCCTGTCAAATCAATCAATCAATCTATCTATCTTTTAAAAAACAACAAAGAACTTTATTGAGATGCCTTTAGCATATAAAAATCATGTGAATTAAAGGTGCAAGGAGCACCTGGGTGGCTCAGTGGGTTAAAGTCTCTGCCTTCGGCTCAGGTTATGATCCCAGAGTCCTAGGATCAAGCCCCACGTCGGGCTGTCTGCTCAGCAGGGGGCCTGCTTACCCTCCTCTCTCTCTGCCTGCCTCTCTGCCTACTTGTGATCTCTGTCAAATAAATAAAATCTTTAAAAAAAAGGTACAGAACTTGATGTTTCAATATATGTATATAGTGTGAAAAGATCACCACTGTCAAGTTAGATAACTTTTCCGTCACCTCTGCGTAGTTGAGTGTGTGTGTGTGTGTGTGTGTGTGTGTGTGTGTAGGTGGGGAGTGAGTATATTTAAGACCTAACTTCTTAGCAAATTTCAAGTATACAATACAGTATCAATAACTATAGTCACCATTCTGTACACTAGATCCTCAGAAGTCATTCATCTTGCATAACTGACACTTTGTAACCTTTGGCCAACATCTCATTCTCCTACCACTTCCCCTGGCAACCACCATTCTACGCTGTGTCTATGTATGTGACTATTTTAGATTGCACATGTAAGTGAGATCAGGCACTATTTGTTATTTGTGCGTCTGGTTTATTTCATTTTGCATAGTGTTCTCCAGGTTCATCCATGTCATCTCAAATGGGAAGATTTTCTTTTTTTTTATGGCTGAATAATATTCTGTTGTGTGTGTGTATGTTATATGTGATATATATATATTATATATATAATTATATATATAATATATATATAAATATTTATATGTATATAAAACACATACACAATATATGTGTGTTATATGTGATACACACACACATATGTGTGTATATATGTATATATTCCCTTAGTTCACTGATGGATGCTTGGGTTGCTTCTATATCTTGGCTGTTGTGATTAGTGCTGTAGTGAACATGGGAGTGCGGATATATCCTTGAGATCCTAATTTCATTTCCCTTGGATAAATACCCAGTAGTGGAATTGCTGGATCATATGGTAGTTCTATTTTTAATTTTGGGATATTTCTGTACTGTTTTCCATAATGGCTGAACCAATTTATGTCCCTGGCAACAGTATACAAGGGTTTATCCTCACCAACACTTTTGTCTTATTGCTAATAGCCATTCATAAAGGTGTCAGGTGATACCTCATGGTTTCGATTTGCATTTCCCCCATAATTAGTGATGTTGATTATCTTTTCATGTGTCCGTTGGACATTTATATGTTTGCTTTGGAAAAAATGTGTATTTTAGTTCTTTGTCCGTTTTTAAAATTGGGTTGTTTGTTTTATGCTGTTGAGTTGTAGAAGTTCCTCATATATTTGGGATATTAACCTCTTATCCAATATATAGTTTACAGATATTTTTGGTGAGTGTAATTTTTAATAATTGTATAATATTACCCTTCTACTTTGATTAATTTATAACATGAAATTTAATTTCTATTTCTTATTTTAGCTGGACCTCCATATACTTTATATTTTGGTATTAAATTCTATGCTGAAGATCCATGTAAGCTTAAAGAAGAAATAACCAGGTATAGTATTGACTTCGCTTTAGAACAATACGTGTATGGCATATACATATTTAATACAAATTGGAGTCAAACATTTAGATGGGTGTCCACCTTGTTTTGTAATGCATCTCCACTGAGAGTTAACTTTAAGCTGGCATTGCATGAGGCAGATCAGTGTCTGATGATAGATGTGTGTGAACAATGGCATGAACACAGGTGACATGATGATAGATTTCACATCTGCTACGATGGGGTATTTCTGTATCATTATTGTGAAGGCTGCAATCAGCTTTTGTAGTCATGTGAAAGTAGCCGTTTGAACTACGTAAAAGAAGGATATTTTAATGCTTGGTTTACATACGTAAATGCCAATCTGAAGAGCCAGTTACTACTCTTTAATTGGTTATAGCTTAAATATCAGTTGTCCAGGGCTTTCATTTACCTCTATAGGAAATGAAAAGATACTTGCTTCTAGTATAAGGCAGAGAAAAACAACAACTACAACAACCTTTTTCGATGTATTCCTTTACCTTTGTCATCAAGTACTTTATTTCATTTAAGACACAGTTTCCATTTGGTATTGGTTATATTGTTAAAAGAGTCCACTCCTACATTTGAAAGTGGCTTTACAGAGCAGGCAGCAGTGTTAGGTTTTCTCTTAATTCCACTGGTGACCTGCCGGCACGTGGGAACAAACACAAGCATTTTCTCTGACTCAACTCGAAGTGGTCAGTTTTCCTAGTGAGCTCCTATCATTGGCTCAAGTAGAGCCGAATGCATTATTCCAAGCATTGGGAATCACGTCTTTGATAACTAAGGCAGTCTGTGGTTTTGTTCCTGTTGTATTCTTTCATCTTTTTCCTTTCACTCTTTTGTCTCGATTCCGGATTGCGCAGAGAAGGGTGAGGAGAGAGGAGGCTAAGTGGACCTTCCTTGTTCCTCTCTGGAGTGTGATGATTAGGCCTCACTTTGAGAACCGTGCTGAGCTGCATTCACATTTTCCATTGCCAGCCACCTCATTACTGACAACTTTAAAAAGGAGGGCTGTCCCAGGAGGCTTCCCAGGAGCACACCTCTATGGAGGAAAGGCCATTGTGTTGGGAAGAAGTTAAGGAGAGCGATCATATTTACATTAGAGCTTCATGAATAGTCTTTTCGGTAGAGGGGTTTCTGAATTGTGGGCTCATGGGGAAACTGAGTCCATGTGGTTCAAAAAAGCCCTAGGTAGCTGTAACACATTAGGAAATTGCAAGGAAATAACATTTTATGAAAATACAAGGAAAGTTTCATTTTGAGGTTGTCAGTAGCCTGCGTGTCTTACATTCCTTAGCTGTAAATTCGGAGATACACCTGTCCCATCAGATTTTGTCAGGACTGAAGGGTGTGCTACTAATGTTAACCTTGTGTCGCCTGTTGGGTTTGGGTCAGGAGTGCTTGATAATATTTTCTTCTCTCCTTGCTCTGGCAGTTCAGCAGAGTTACATCTTAAATGAGGGTTAGGTTCCAAATGACACGCAATTTACTCTTAGTAGGGTAGGAGATGAGTGTTTTATGATGCATTGTTTCAAATCTGTTCACAAAATATTAATGAACAGAAATTTCCCATCAGAACCTACTACCAGCTCCTTAACAGAATGCACAGATTTGTGTGTGATGTACAACCTGAGAGCATATTTGTTGTAACCTGCTTTTCCTCACATATTAGACCAAATCATGTAGTTAAGAACCAGATTACATTGTTGACTTCCAGCTAGTGGCCATGATCTGTAATCATTTATTATTGTTGCCCAAAACATATAGTTGAATATAGGTAAGTTAAATGTCCGTTTGATATGATACCACTAAATACTTACTTTTAGTGTATTCTGAAGGTAAAGTCATTAATTTGCTTGCATATGTTAATTTAAATGGGTAGGCATAATGAACCTTAGAAAGGGAGCCAGTTACATGAGATTATTTTGACAAAAGCAGACACTAAAACCCAAAGCCCAGACCTCCCATTATATGCTTTTAAAGGAAAAGTATACTTAGGCCAGCATTTGCAAGTTGAACATTTATCTGGCTTCAGTTCTTTGGAAAATCGTTCTAGCCTGTTTTGTATTGGTTCTTGGGTGGTTCATAAGTTTTGATATGAAAAATAATGCTATAGTCAACAGGCTTATGACTGTTCTTCCATATATGTAGGTTTTGGGTTTTTTTTTGATAACCATACCATTTCTTACATATTGTGCAGACTCTCTCACCATCTAACCCATCTGTTTTACTCCTGTGTGGTACTCCTTAACTTACTTAACCATGCCCTTGGGGATGGCTCTCTAGTTTGTTTCTTTTTTTTTTAAACTCCAGATAAAGCTAGCCTTGAATCTTCTCAAGTAAGTATTCATCATACTAGATGCAGCATTCCAGGAGAGCGTTTATTTAGGAAAAAATACTAAAGGTGAATGCAATACACAGGAAAATAAGGTTCCAGACCCTGAGAAAATGGAAGTGAATAGAATCATATCAACTTAGAGTAGTTGCTAAGTGCTCTAAAAAGTTGTCTGAAATGAACAAAATTGGGAGACTGTGAGGAAGACTCCTCATTTAGAATTCATGTATCCTGACCTGTACCTTTTACAGAACATTCCTGATGTTACCGCTAGCTTCCTTGTAAACATTTTTAAGATAGGAAACCTTATTGCCTAGCAAAGTGATAGAAAATTCAGTGAGACATCCCTATAGCTTTTCTCACTGGCACCAGATGTTCTTTCTGGTAGAATAAATCTAATGTCTCTTCTCCTTCCAGCCCTCTAAATAATCTGTGTCCTCATAGTATCTGTTAAACTTATTTTCAGTTCTGATTCAAAATATTACAACAGCCTTCCATGTATTCTGGTTCACTTATAGCTCTGTATCCTCTGCACTGTTGATAAGCATAGCACACATACTTTTAAGAAGACAGGCTTTGGAGGGGTGCCTGGGTGGCTCAGTTAGTTAAGCATTCCACTTTTGATTTTGGCTCAGGTCATGATCTCAGGGTCCTGGGATTGAGCCCTGTTTCCGGACTCCCCACTCAGCAGGAAGTGTGTTTGTCTCCCTCTCCTTCTGCTCCTTCCCCTGTTTATGCTCTCTCTCTCTCTCTCTCTCTCTGAAAAATAATAAGTATTTAATGTTTTCAAATTATTGATTCAAAAATAAGGGAGGAAAAGACCTGAGATGGGTCTTCCAGTTTAAAGTCAATCCACAAATCACAACTTTCTGGGTGTAGTTGTTCATTTAATTATGACTGTCCTCCTATGACTGTCCTTTTGCCTACATTTCTTGAATTTGTTCTTAAGGACAGAATTCACTTGCCTACCTTCATTTAATAACCACATGAAGCATTGCCTTCCTGTGGTCGCAGTACTAAGGTGACCAAAGAGGATTTCAGTCTTCCAGGAAGAAAGGATAGAGGGACTGCCCATTCTGTGGACACTGTCCTATCTGTGACATCATTGAAATCTTTCTGAACTTCTAAGGGTCTAAGAACAGTTTCTAAAAAAAGAATATTCCAAATGACATGTTCATAATGGATTTTTTTTTAGTTTCTAAAAGATACCTAAAAAATGGGTATTTGCTTTTTATTTTGTTTTGTAATGTTTTATAGTTGTTTTTTTTTTTTTTTTGGCGGCAGGGGGTGGGGGACTGACCTTAAGCTTATCAATTATTTTTTAAATCTTATTATTTTAATATGGCACTTTGCGAAGATTAGCTTGTTTTAGCTTCTTTACCAGCTGAGTGACCTGCTGTTACAAGTTTACATCCAGAGTTCCTGTCTCCTGTCAGTGAAGAGCATGGTTCTCAGTACAGTAGAGTTGAGACAGGGTCACGTTCCAGTATGGATGCAAGAGAAATTTGTGAACTTTAGAGGACTATCCAAATGGAAGGTGATATTATTGCTATTTGTTCCTCTATTTTAATCATTCATTTTAAATTGTTGAGGTGAGAGTGTCATTCCTGGTTTTGTCACGTTTTCTTGAGAATTCGTGTGTGCTTCCTCTGCTGTTTTTCTCCTTAAACCATATACACCATTTCCCCCTGTCCCTGACATTTAAGCCTTGTTTAAAAGACTGGGCTCCTGTCATGTGCAAGGCTCCCTCTGTGTAGGAGGCAGAAAACAATCCGGCCTTCCGTGAAGGTAGCTACTCTCCCCTCAGCTGCTCCACTGTCAAATTCAGCCAGCACTGATGTCAGACTTCTGCTTGTCCCCACCGTGCTCAGTTTCCTCACCAGGGTCTCAGTCACTGGTAGGTACATTTCAGGTGTATTGGTGGAAGCATGTCTTTAGCCTCTGAGTCTCAGGGAACCTTCTTTTTGGGTTCCAGAAAGAATGGGGTCTCTCTGCCCCGTCCTTAAGCTAACCTCCTTTGCCATTCTTCTTGCCTCTGATACTTGTTAAATTGTTAATGGTCTTCAACAGCCTGTACATGCTTGGTGTCAACTCAGCCCTTTTCAGTGAACATCAGCTAAACAGAAAACTGTGAAGCCAAAATGTCAAGCCCTTAACTTGTATTGTACTGGTTGTAGTGTTGTGGTAAGTGTGAACAGGGAGGAAGATCCAGCTCCTTTTTTTTTTTTTTTTAAGATTTTATTTATTTATTTGACAGAGATCACAAGTAGGCAGAGAGGCAGGCAGAGAGAGAGGAGAAAGCAGGCTCCTTGCTGAGCAGAGAGCCCGATGTGGGGCTCGATCCCAGGACCCTGAGATCATGACCTGAGCTGAAGGCAGAGGCCTTAAGCCACTGAGCCACCCAGGTATCCCAAGATCTAGCTCTTTTACCCCAGGGCTCATGATCCTAGCTTGGGAGACAGTGCATATACACCAGAATATTAACTTACATACAGAGGTGCCTAGGGGTGCCTGGGTGACTCGGTTAAGCATCTGACTCTTTTTTTTTAATTTCTTTTTTTAAGATTTTCTTTATTTATTTGGGATTAGCAAATACTGTACTTATCTTGATTTTAGTGGTTTTTTTTTTAATGTGATAACTTAAACATCTCTGGTATCTTTAAAAGGTAGGCTGTCCAGGAAAGCTTGAACAGATTCCTTTTTTCTTTCTTTTTGTGAGTTTCTCAAAGACGGCAAAGAATGTTCAGTTTTTTCCATTTCAGCCATCTGTCTCCCTGCTCATTTGTATATCCATCCAAGACAACTATTTATTGAGCAGTTACTATGTGCCAGACCTATATACTGGGATTACAGTCCCTGATGGGATAGGATCTCTGTTTCTTTGTATCTGTTTGTCTTTCTCTGTTTCAGCTCTTTGTTTTTTCATCTCCCTCTGATATTTTTTTTTTTTTTCCTTTGCCTTTGCCTTTGAAGCAAACTCTTGTGGGATTAGGTCCTTCTGTTTCTGTGTTTGGCAAGCGATTTGACTATACAGTCAGATGTTATAAAAGTCTTAATACAGCAAGACAAATATGCATCTGTGACCCATTTCCTTAAAAAAAACAAAACACTTCAGAAAAAGAAATTCCAGGTTAACAATAGAGAAAGAGAACGTAGCTAAATGTAAGTTTCCAGCAAGCAGTAGTAATTCTAGCAAAATGTCTGTTCAGTTTATAAGCTTTTGCATTTACAGTTCTGCTAATAATGCTTTACTCTGCTTTTCCTCCTCTTCAAGAGGAGGACAGATGATTATAACAAAGTGGATTTGATATCCAAGATGAGCATTCAGGGCATGGTGAGTAGTTAAGCAGGTTACTAGAAAAGTGAATGCAAGTTAGGGAGTGGGGGTGGTCATTTGTTAATGGCAAGAGATTTGGCTCAAGAAGCAAAAGTCTTATAAGCCTTTTCCTTTTTCTCTCCCTACCGCCTCCTGCCCACCCCCGGCTGTTTGTAGTTTGTTTTACCCTTGGTGCACACGGTTATAGGGTGTCAGGAAGGCTTGAATGTGATTTGGAGAGTAGAGAGTGGGGTTCTCTCAACTTACTTTTTGGTGTTTTGCCATAAATGAACCCAACTCTTTGTGCTTGCTGCAGCCTGCCTCCTCTGTGGGGAAGGAAGGGAGGGGCTCTGGTACGCCTAGCATCTCCTGAAGCCTGGGGGCTGCTGGTGGCTTTACCAGGCTGGTCACCAGGTGGCTTTCTCATGGCTTCCAGAGCCAAGTCCCAGATGATGCTGCTGCTGGAGGCTTGGGGGAGATTCCGAGCTCCAGAAGCATAGCCATGAACGGGAGAGTGGACTTCCCTTAAAAGGAGCTTGCCTACCAATGACCCCGGCCAGCAGGGGGCAGAGCAGGGTGGTGAGGGATGGATTGCTCAGAATGCCCTGCACTTCCGCAGGGGCTGTTACTGGAAGTGGAACCCCAGTGGCACTGGTGATAGTTGGGGGTGGGCATGAGCAAGTGAGCCGCTGAAGGGGAAGGCTGCCATTCTGTTGTGCTGTAGCTTGTGGGCTGGAGGAAACCTGGATGGCGACCCCTCAGGGGCCTCTGTGCGAGTGGCTGGTGGCGGGACAGGGATGCTAGGCCGTGGACCCCATTTGCAGAGGAAGCCAGGGAAGGCTGCCATTCCGTGACCGAGCTGTGCACATCACAAGCTCTCTTAAGGATCTGAACTTTATCCTGAAAGTAAGGTTTGTTAAGGTTTTGTCTGTTTGTTAAGGGAGTGACGTGATCCTGTTTTTCTCTTAAGGATTTTGTTTAGTTCTTGGGAACGTTGGTGGGAAGGGAGATAAGTATGAATGAGGGCAGTGCACTGAAGGTTTTAGAAATTTGGGGGATAGTGACCTGGGCTAGGAGATGGAGAGCAGTGTGCCTATTCCAGAAGACAACAGACTCTGTGACTGGATGTGGGTGCCAGGGGTTACCCCTGATGGGTAGGTTTCTCTCACTTGGCTATCTGGAGGCTGCGGTGCTATTTACTGAAACGGGCAGTGAGGAAACACAGGGTGTTATGCAGATTCTCTCTTAAGCTTGTGGATATAATTAAACTTGGTATCAGTCTTCTAGAAATAGTAATAATAAGTAGCATCTAACATTTGGATTCCCTTACTATGGGCCTTGGTTGTAAGCATTTGGAGAAGAAAAGCTTATCACAGCTGATTTTTATAATTCATTTCCTTTGTCCTTTTTCTGCCCTTCCCAATGACAATAAGAGTTGGCGTCCAAAGAAACAGAAACCACAGTGACAGCCTGGTGCATGTGTGCGTGAGTGAGTGAGTGAGTGTGTGTGTGTGTGTGTGTGTGTAGGTGGGTGATGGTAGTCAAGAACAGTGTTGATGGTTCATTGTGTTGGTTCATAAACCCCTGGCACAGGCTGAAAGACTGAATGGGGGTGGGGGAGGGGAAGCTAGCCAAAGTTGCATAGCATCCTGATTAAGAGGTTCTAGGGTCAGACTGTCTGCGTTCCAGTTCTGGCTCTGCTACTTAACTAGTTGTGATGTCTTCATCTCGTTGTGTCTGTTAGAGTCTTCATTCTGCAAAACAGAGATGGTAATAGTACTGACTTAAAGTCTTACATAAGTTATTGTATGTAAGACCCTTGGAATGAGTTATTATATTTAGTGTTTAGAGCAGTCGTTGGTGCTTTTGTAACAGGGTTTGTTTTTTTTTTTAGACAAATGGAATGAGCAAAGCCATGGATAATGGACATAAGAATTGATGGAATTGCACTATAATGTCCTTTTTGTCCTGTATCCATGAGTTTAGACCCTGTAGGTAACACATCATAGAGCGTTAGGTCCTTAAAATTTGTTTCTCCCAGTAAGGCTGGGTCATAGTAGGTGTGGCAGTGGCAATAATGAGCATCTTGAGAATAGCTTCTGTGTAACCTCCACATTAACCTTATGAGGAGAGTTCTGCAGGTGAGGAGATGGGCTGTTGGAGAGGGTCACCAGCTGCCCAGGTGAGTACCAGAGCTGGGACGCAGGCCAGCCAGTCTACCTTGAGAGCCTGCGCTTTTTGGCCACGATCCTGTATTGCTTATGTAGAGTGTGTTTAAAGAGTTCCTGTTCACTCAGCAGTCCCCTCACCACAGAACAGAAGTGGCTTTATTTTCATTACATTCGTTGTTGCCGTGATTATCAGAGTCTGGGTGGTGTAAGATACCATGAATCTCTTTTTTCCATTTCTCTTGTAGGTATCAGTTTTTCTTGCAGGTGAAGCAAGACGTCCTTCAGGGCCGGCTGCCTTGCCCTGTCAACACTGCTGCTCAGCTGGGAGCTTATGCCATCCAGTGTAGGTTCCACTGCAGCCAACCGAGAAAAAATATGAATTTTTCTTTTTAAGCAAGTTCACATACTAAAATTCTTCTTAGCAAATGACATTTTCCTAAACAAAATTTTAGTCAGAATTCAGGTTTTAATCTGTGTCCTTTAAGAAGAGGTAAAAGTAAAGCCAGTTATGTATCCTTTGTAATAGGTCACTTCAGAGTTTTAGTAACAGGAATGGCATTGATTCTTGATGAAGCGGAATCTGAAAATCCCTTCCATTCTACAACCCACCTAGTTTGTTGATCACCAAGCTGTGATTGTCTCAGAGATCACATTGTTCTTGGGCAAGCTCAGGGTGTCGCCCTCATTGTGCCTCATCTCTTGGCCCCAATATGGCAGCCACGTGGGGCAACTCCAGGTTGCATTGTCATTTTGGAGGCTGAGGATGTTTTCACTCTCTAAGTGGAAATACTGAGCCCTTTCTAAGAATCAAGCTAGGTATGGGGACAATGAGACAGTGTGTTCCTTGCCTTTGTAGCACTTGGAGATCAGGAATAGTCTAGAAAAAATGTCCTAGGAAAAATGTCACATAGATGAACTGGGTTGGGCTTGGAAGGTGGATTAACATAGGGAGGAATATCTTATTAAATGTAGTATAATGAGCTTTCTGGTTTCATTTTGCTTTTTTTTGTGTAAACCAATGTGCAACATTGTGTTAAATTTCCATTTGGGGCATCCTGGTTGTTTTTGCCTCTAGCATTTCTAATATATGTACTCTAAATTCTGTTAACAACATTGTTGTCTCATATAGTCTGGTAAAGATAATAGAAATGAAAATGATAATTATAGTCTTTCAGAAAGATTATAGAACTTATAGAAATATAGAACTTATATTTTATAATACTTATACTGTTTATATATGCTAATCAGAGTTGTTTTTTACTAAAATTAGTTATATATGAATTTATTAACAAGACATTTGAGGAAAATGTTTTCGGCATGATAGGAATATTTTGAAATATTTTTAGGAATATTTTTCTAAAATGGAAAATAATGTAATTTCTTTTGTAGCTGAGCTTGGAGATTATGACCCATATAAGCATACTGCAGGCTATGTGTCAGAGTACCGGTTTGTTCCTGATCAGAAGGAGGAACTCGAAGAAGCCATAGAAAGGATTCATAAAACTTTAATGTAAGGATCCCTTTTTATTTTTATTTTTTTATTTTTTTTAATAAACATATAATGGATTATTAGCCACAAGGGTCCCTTTTTATTAGCTATAATCAATATGCTATCTATGAGATCCCCCAAACTTCATCGTATTAAAGTTTATACTCTTAGACCAACATCTCCCTATTTCCTCCACCCCCAGTCCCTGGTAACCACCTTTCTACATCTCTGTTTCTATGAGGTTGGCTTTTTTAGATTCCCCCTCAAGTGATATCCTAGTGTTTCTCTGTCTCTGTCTTATTGCATTTAGGGTAATGCCCTCAAGGACCATCAGTATACTGGAGAGTTGTTAAGAAAGTAGACCTTAAATGATCTCACCACAGGAAAGAAATGGTAATTATGTGTGTGAAGGTATTAGCTAACCCTGTGGTGGTAGTCATCTTACAGTACAGAAGTGTATTGAATCAACACATTGTATACCTGAAAATTACACAATGTTGTATGTCAGTTACATCTCAAAGCTAGAAAAAAAAATCATGTCTTATGTTGCATCCTCCATCAGCTGTCATCTTACGCTGTTGGCAGCCTTCAGAAAAGTTCCTAGAATGATAAAATCTTCACCTGTGCCGTAAACATTCTAGTATTTTTTAAGTTTTTTTTTTTTCTGCTTATAATACTAAAATGCTCGTAGAAAACTCAAACAATTTAAAAAATGGGAAGGAGAGAATAAATCCCAATGCCTAAAGTCGACATATTTTTGATGAATGGCCTTTCAGACCTCTCTCTATGCATAAGTTCCCGTAGAGAAAATTTATTTTGTATAGATTCATGTATGTATGATTTTACATAAATGAAATCATTCTGTATATATTGTATTTTGCAGTTTTCTATTTTTTCAGTCACCAGCACCTTGTGAAATTTATTCTTCCAGCTATAAATATATTTTATAACCACAGAGACCTTAATGTATTCTGGGATTTGGTCTGTCTTAAATATGTAAATTCTTCACAGTTATAAGCAAAGTCCTATTCAGTCTAAAGCAGTGAATGTGGAAATCACAATGATACCAGTGTGGAGCCTTGGATGGGTGTTATGTTAACACCACATGCACTTCTGAGAATATACACACTCCCCTAGTAGGATTTTCAATTAATGGCCTACAGCATTGAAGTTATAATTTAATTATAGTTATTTTGGTTAAATCCTCTGTACTGATTAACTTTGCTTTATTGCCTCTTATGTAACATTCCCTCTTGAATTTGCTTGGTTTCAGATCTATTATAATTAAGGAAAAAATGTAGAATTAATCTGATCAACAAAAAATGTTTGCCTAAAGGATCTGTTTCAGTGAGTAGCTGAATTGCAGTCAGAGAAACCAGGCTTTCCATCTTGTGTTAGCATGCACCCAAATGCTCTCCAGGCTGATTATAGAGCCCTTCAATTTTAAGGTTTTGCTGAAGTGGATGCTAAGAGATGCTGGTTATAACATTATGAAGGGCAATGTGTTTGGCACATTCTGAGAATACTAATTCTGGGAGTTTGAGAGTACAATTGTATTTCTGAAATTATCAAGGAGCTTTGGGTAAAGGGCCTTACATGTCTTAACGTAATGGTGTTGACAGTGTGAGTATTATTTTAGAGAGAATAAAGCTTGATCAAGATTTGGTAGCTTTCTTGTATCTAATTTGTAATGAACATTCTTCATAGATTTCAAAATGATGGTGTATGGCTGGGTTTTCCAGGGTACCATGGCAGAAACATGGGATGCATCAAAGCAGGATTTAGTAATTAAAAAAAATTTATAGCTCCTTTTGTTAACAAATAAAAGAACCCTGTCTTTCTCTGTTACACACATACACACACATATGCACACATGCACAGTTCCAGTTATCTGTGGAGAACTCTGGGAGATGCTCACACTTGCTAGGAATGAATACCATTTATGTACATTATCACCAATGAAACCTTTGGGATGATTTCTATACTTTGTATTAAGAAAATGATAAGTATTTTTATTATTGATAAATACTAATATATTTTTAAACTACATATGTCCTCTTGAGACCCCAGCAAGGTGTAGGGGAACCCATTCTCTTCTCCCTACCCACTACTACTTTTACTCCTTTTTCTCCTGATGGAGAACTGCTGGTGTGTTCAGACATTTTATTCTTTGTAAAGGATGTACTTCTTAATTCGAGTGCTTCTATTCTCAGTCTCTTTGGGGGGTTTCTGAAATGGAATTTTTAATATATGTTGGGACACTGGGATTGGCTATACTGAGCAAAAACAGGTTTGGTAAATGAAATTAACTTAATACAAGTATCGCCTCAGAGTGTAACGTTTTTTCACCATGAAGGCAAGGGACTTCTTGAAATACAAAGACTTAAGTTTGCATTAGCATGAAGAATTATTTATATTTCCAGTGAATAGAGTGAAGATGACTTACATTCCCTACAAGTACAGTACCTATTAGTAAAGTAAGGCTTTTGTTTTTATGCTGTGTAGGGGTCAGGCTCCTTCTGAAGCAGAGCTGAATTACTTGAGGACTGCCAAATCCCTGGAGATGTATGGTGTCGACCTCCATCCTGTCTATGTGAGTAACATTTAATTAACACAAGATATTTTAAGCTGATGACATTTTTCCTAAAAAGTCACTGAAACTCCCAGAGGAAAGCAGCAGTCCCGTTGTTTAGCAAGCAGATGATACTTTTTCGTCTGTGTTTTTCGAACACAAAGAATCTCTTGCATGGATTCAACCCTAATGAGTTTTGCTTCAAAGTCTGTGATTATGTTTCCATGTGTAGAAAACAATTAACTGGGCTTGAAAACACAATCTGGATAAAAGCTCCATAGGGCTTAGCTAAACGTCAAAACCATTTAAAATTGGTCTGTAATTGATTGTATTAGACAGAGAACAGGAGGATCTTCCAAAAATAGATTTTATGGCTGAAAAGCATTCATGAAATCACATTCCAGAAAAGTAGGCTTTGGGCACTGGTACAGGTGTGGCTGTCGGTGGTTGTGTGTGGGATGTATAGGTTCTTAAACAGTAGGGGTGCTGCCTAGTACGGTTATTGCCACTGCAGTAATAGAAAGATTTTCGCAGATTTTCTTTATCAGCGGATGAACTTTCTGGAGAAGGGTGGCGGTAAACTAGCCTTCGTCATTCTCTTCGTCTGAGAATAAGATCAAGATGAGCCCTTGGGAAGGAACTCTTGATAGAAGCCAGTGGTTCGTGGTCCTTGGCTGTACAGGAGAATCACCTGGAGTATTGTGTTTTTGATACCTGGGCGCTTTCATTATAGATTGTGATTTAACTGGTTTTGGTAGCACTCAAGCTCCAGCATATTTTTTTTTCTTAAGATTTTATTTATTTATTTGACAGAGAGAGATCACAAGTAGGCAGAGAGGCAGGCAGGGGGTGGGGTGGGAAGCAGGCTCCTTGCTGAGCAGAGAGCCTGATGTGGGGCTTGATCCCAGAACCCTGAGATCATGACCTGAGCCGAAGGCAGAGGCTTAACCCACTGAGCCACCCAGGTGCCCCCAAGCTCCAGCATATTAAGCTGCACAGCTGATTCCGGTTAAGTGCAGCCAGGGGTGAATAGCATTGTAGACACGGTGTGGGCTGAGTTGATCAGGGGTCTGATTGGTAATCAGGTTCTCTGGATGACCTGAATACACTAAGAAAACTTTTCAGTAAAAACCTGAAAAAAAGAAAAAAACTAATCGTACTATCATCATAGCTTAGCTAGCTTTCTAAGCTGATGTTTTTGAAAGACTGGACCCAGTGTTAATGCAACATACCTTGTCTGTTATGGCCAACTACAGTTTGACAAAGGGCTTTGACATGAATAAATTCATAGTTAGAGGTTTATGTTTGTTTTTGCAGGGAGAAAACAAATCTGAGTATTTCTTAGGATTAACTCCAGTTGGTGTTGTGGTCTACAAGAATAAAAAGCAAGTAGGGAAGTATTTCTGGTAAGTATAACTTGAGGACAGAGTTGGTATTAAAATTGTACACTGTACATGCTTGGCTTATGGGGCTGCTTTGTCATTGAAAAGAGAACAGGTGTGTTTCCAGTGGTTGATAAATAAATGAGTGAAACTGGGTATAAGTATTCTCCCAGTGCATCTTAGTATGTATTTTCTTTGTAAATTTTAGGTCCTGTGATTCTGGACTCTCTTATCCATGCAAATCGGGTATAGTAGGGTTTCCTATCCATTTCACTCTGTGCTAGTGAGCTGTGGGGCTAGGACTCCTCTGATTTCTAATTCTAAATAGGGGAGGCATTGAGAAAGACTGGGTGCCTATAGCCCTATGCTGCATCTGGGAAGGCAGCACTGGCCAAGGGCCTGGGGATTCCAAGCTGGTCTGCATCTCCTAGAGAAGCACAGGAGAATGAGAACGGAATTTTGTTTCCGGAGGTATCCAGAGCAAATGACCCATAGGAACTCTCAGCAGTTACTGTAGCAGTCTGTAAAGGAGCTGCGATGAGCCAGTCTTTTTCTACTGGAAACTCCTCTGAATTGCTGAAAGATTAATTCTTACAAACTGCACCACTACCACCGTCTGCTTTGTTTTTTTAGGCCACGGATTACAAAGGTTCACTTCAAGGAGACACAGTTTGAACTCAGAGTGCTGGGAAAAGATGTAAGTTTTTGTTGAGTGCTCAGCTTAACTGAGGCGGGAAGTCTTGTCTGTTCATGGATAACTTAAAAGACGTTGTGAAGTAAAAAGTGCCGTGTTTCTCTAGCTGCAGCCACATGGAACCAGGTTAATTGACTCATGTGCACAACTTCTTCTCAAGGAAATAAAAGGGAAGTGAGTAGAAATGAATGAGTTGGTTATGGAGAAATGTCATTTTAGTTTTAGCAAAGAGAGAAAAAAAAAACTCTTTCTAGGGCACAAGAGAGAATAGTTGGTGATTATCATTATTAGAGTAATTTGCTTAAAAGTACTATCTATGAAGGTAGGATTCATATCCTTAGAAGGGTGTGGGCTGCATATAGGATAAAGTGTGTCCTAATTTTGTCCCAAAGTAAATTAAATGACCTGTAGGGAGTCACACTTCTGTTTTCTCCCTAGTTGAGCATGGTAGATAAACTGGAGGGGAAATTGAGCATGGTAGATAAACTGGAGGGGAAATTCTGGAGGCTCCAAAGGACTGTGTAAGGCAAAAATACTGACCTTCTCCTTACAACTTGACAGTGTCCTCCAGGATTGTTTGGGTAACGGGCACAGTATTTGTTGGAGCCTGGAGGTGCCTTCATGCCTCGACAGGTGGCTTTTAAGAAACCATGACCCAAAAGACAAGGATGTGAAAACTTCCTTTTAAGCTATCTTTGAAAATAATGCTCCCTTGAAGTGCTATTATTCTAATTTGTATTTATGGGATAAACTAGTGAAAATAGGATGTATGAGAATCCATCCTCTGTGTCTTTGGTAGTGACTTTATGAAGACCAAAAACCTGAGTGGATGGCGTTGAATGACTTTCTGATGAGAGGTCTGTTGTAAAAATGAGATGAGTGAAGCTTGTGCTTCCGCATCTACACATGGAGACACACGAAAGGAACCGCGGTGATGCCAAGCAGCAGGCACTCACACGCTGCCTGTGGAACCCTCAGTGAACTGACAGACGAGATTATGTACTGTCCAACCAGAAAACCTGATTTTTCTAGAAAAACAATACAATGATCCTTCCCTGAACTGTGACAGACTGCCATTTATTGATAACATTAAAATTGGATTTTGAAATGAGTTTTAACTTGTCCAGAGGGGAAATTCCAGATTTTTAAAGAAGTGGTAGTCCAAACACCTCATACTAGTTCGAAACAGTCTGTAGTTTTCTTCAACTCCTGATTAGATGCATCAATCTTTAAGGATGGGCTATAAGATTGAATTAAAAATCATCCTGAAAGTAGAACAGCTAATTAGATATAGTAGAGCTATATGGTTTTCTCCCTGTCCTGCCACTGGTTTTACATGACTTAATCCAAGGAGTAAGTCTGCTCAATATGTTGCAAATACTGTCCTGTTTTTAATAGGAATATTATAGTAACATAAGTCTTTTCATGGAAGCATTACTCTTACTTACAGTCATTTTCCCTCTCATACCTAAGTTATTTTTGTGAGTGAGGTCCTTGGTTCATCTACTTTTATGTTATCATTAGTGAGCCTTAAAATGTCCTCCGCCTCAGGATAAATAATTTGGTAAAGTTGCAGCTAACTTATTTTTTAACTTCTTAGGTTTTTCATTATTAGGAGAAAACAAAACAACAAAAAATTGGTATTTTTCATGAGACATTTTTTTTCTTAGGCAGTGGGAGAAGCAGACTCCATGCTGAGTAGGGAGCCAGATACTGGATTTGGTCCCAGGACCCCGGGATCATGACCTGACCCAAAGGCAGATGCTTAACTGACTGAGCCAGCCAGGCACCCTTCCAAGACACCGTGTCTCTTGGGTCGTTAGCATGGTGTCATCAATCTCTTGCAAGGTGTTGAACTCAGGCTTGAATCAAAGGGATTCTTTTTTTTTTTTTTTTTTTTTTTTTAAATAAGACATTAGTCTAACCAAAGCACTCCATTTCGTGAATGTTCTTGCTTTGTAGTCGGTCTTCTTTCTCCACCAGGGTATCTCTCTATGAGGCAATGATTTACATAATGGTAGTATTAAGTTGATTATTATGGAGACCTAACTGTAATCATAGATTAAATATAAAAGCCCCCTGAAACCTATCACCTGGGCCAGTAATCATAGTCAGCTTGAAAAATGGTTGAAATGCTTATTCTGGTTTTCTGCTCCACTGGTCCAGTCAAAGAGACTTAACTCGGTATGCTCAGTGCTGTTAGGGACCAAATTCAGAGATTCGGTTTCCAAAAGAACAGCAGTGTACTAAAGATAAAAGATTTTTCCTGGTGTCATGCTATGCCACTAACACTGTCCAACTTCATTTTTTAATAGTAACTGTGTCCAACAAAACACACCAGCATATCTTAATAAATACAAAGAGTATACTAGTATGTACTGTGTATCTCTTCCTTTGCATCCACAAGGAAGATCTCCTCTTTGTCAGATATAACCTTAATGAGTTCAGTGATTTTTTTTTCAGTGATTCATTTTTGAGAGAGCAACAGATAGTTGTCCACAACTAAAAACTGATTTTGTAAACATTTATTCCACTGACAGATTCAGCAGCTAATTATTATAAATACTTTTATGGATTATTTAAACTTCAAAATAGGTACTGTGACTTCAGTAATACCTCCCAGAAAATAAAGACTTTTAATATAAAGGTCTTTGATGATGATTGTAGAAAATCTGAGAAATATACTATGAAGAAAATGAAAATTACGTACTAAAACTCAGAGGTAATGATTATTATTTTGGTGCAATCCCTTTCAGATTTTGCCCTGTTAGCACATGTATAATATATGTATATTTGTACACATATGAATACATTTCATCCCTTGTGCGGTTCTGTACACAGGTTTTATATTTAATATCACATCGTAAGCATTTCTCCTTTTATTATACTTATTCGTATGTGCCTGCACAGTGTTTGGTAATGTGTTTTAGTTTTATGGGTTTGAACTTTTTTTCTTAATTTTGTGGTTCAGTTTTTTCCTTCTGTTGTATCTTACAACTGTTTTCTGCTGGTGGATTGAAAGCTGTGGAATTTTATGTTGATCTCAAATCTGGCTGTGTTGCTGAATTCTTGTGTGCTAGCCAAGAGTTCTTAATTTGATTTGCATAAAGTTTTGTAGGTATATAATTATATCATTTGCAAGGAAAAATAATTTATTTTCTCATTTCTGTTATGTTTCATCTCTTCTGTTGTTGGTCATAACTTATAGAAAAGTGTTAAGTGATTTAGTAATATAAAGCGTCTTTGGTTTCTGATTTTAATGAAAATATAACTATTCCACCACTTACGTATTATCTCTTGGTTTTAGGAATATATGTTTATTATGAGGGGTTTAAATTTTTAAAAGTCTGTTACCAAATGGTTGCTTTACACTGAATTGCTTGAGAGTGAACATTGTCACCTGTTCACTCACTGAGTAATGCTTATTTAAGAAATGCAGATGAGGGGCACCTGGCTGGCTGAGTCGGTAGATCAGGCAACTCTTTTTTTTTTTTTTTTTTAAGATTTTATTTATTTATTTGACAGAGATTCCAAGTAGAGAGGCAGAGAGAGAGAGAGAAGGGGGAAGCAGGCTCCCCGATGAGCAGAGAGCCTGATGCGGGGCTCGATCCCAGGACCCTGAGATCATGACCTTAGCCGAAGGCAGAGGCTCAATCCACTGAGCCACCCAGGTGCCCCAGATCAGGCAACTCTTGATCTCAAGGTTGTGAGTTTGAGCCCCAGGTTGGGGATAGGGGTTACTTAAAATCTTAAAAAATAATAAATCAAATAGCATGGAGGACAAGGGGAGTTAGAGAGGAGAAGGGAGTTGGGGGAAATTGGAAGGGGAGGTGAACCATGAGAGACTATGGACTCTGAAAAACAATCTGAGGGGTTTGAAGCGGCAGGGGGTGGGAGGTTGGGGGAACCAGGTGTTGGGGATTAGAGAGGGCACAGATTGCATGGAGCACTTGGTGTGGTGCAAAAACAAGGAATACTGTTATGCTGAAAAAAAAATTATAATACATCAAAATAATAGATTATGAAGCAAGCATAAAAAAGAAAGAGTAGGATAAATAAATCTTTCTAAAAAATGGGGTGCCTGGGTGGCGCTGTTGGTTAAGAATCTGACTCTTGGTTTCAGCTTAGGCCATGACCTCAGGGTCATGAGATCAAGCCCCACGCACTCTACATAGAGTCTGTTTAAGATTCTCTCTTCCTGGGACGCCTGGGTGGCTCAGTTGGTTGAGCAGCTGCCTTCGGCTCAAGTCATGGTCCCGGCATCCTGGGATCGAGTCCCATATTGGGCTCCTTGCTTGGCAGGGAGCCTGCTTCTCCCTCTGCCTCTGCCTGCCATTCTGTCTGCCTGTGCTCGCTCTCTCTCCCTTTCTCTCTGACAAATAAATAAAATCTTAAAAAAAAAAAAAAAAAAGATTCTCTCTTCCTCTCCCTTTGCCCCTCACCCATGCTTGCTTGAACACGCTCACTCTTTCTCTCTAACAAATAAATTAAATAATAATAATAATAATAATAATAAATCAACAAATAAAAATTAAAAATCCCAACAAGAGAGGATAGTGGCCGAGACCAGGGTAGCAACATTTCAAGTGCTAAGAAACTATTGGATTCTGGATTTAGCTACATGGTTTAATGGATGTTGGGAGGTATGAGAGAGAGGAGTCCTTGTGACTTGAAGGTGTTTGGCCTGAAAGGCAAGAGGAATGGAGCTGCCGTCTAGTAGGGAGAGGAAGGCTTTGAGTAGAGCAGGTTTGGGGAGGAATATCATGGGTCCCATGTTTAACATGTTGCATTTGAGATATCTGTTAGACAACTAAGTAGAGACATTTAAGAAGTCGGCTCTATGAGTCCGGAGTTTAGGATCGAAGTCTGGGCAGGATAGTGAGATCTGACAATCATTGACATATCCTGGTATTCAGAGCCATGAGTATATGAGGTCATTAGGAGAATGAATACAGATAAGAAGAGGAAGAACCAGAAAACGAGGCTGAGAAGCAATAACCAGC